TACGCATCCACATGTGGCACGTTTGATGCAACACAAGATTATGGAGTTGGATTGGGAAGTTCTCCCCCACGCACCATATTCTCCAGATATGGCACTATCCGATTAGCATCTTTTTCGTTCGCTGCAACACCATCTTAATGGGAAAACGTATGCAAATGTAGAAGTGTTAAAGAGGACATCGACATGATTATGCTTCAAAGCAAGTTATTTCTTTAATCAGGGCATTAGCAACATGATTATAAGATGGAAAAGCATCATTTGTATGAATCGAGACTATTTCATTTAATAAATTTTTTGTTTTGATATATAAGTTGTTCGGATTTTTTCATATAAAAAAGTGATTTTTTTTGACGACCTAATAATTTTCTGATTGACTATAGAATATTTCGCGATACCGAGAAGTTTAGTTTAAAATATTTGCTATAGAAGAAACACGTCTGATCGTTATCGACCGAGTTCTATATCAGTTGTTAATACATCGTTTCTTTATGAGTGAGGAATGGCATATGAAATCTCGGCATTACTTTGAAAAAAGCAGTATCTGTGTGAGGAGAACCTATAGAAGAAATACGTCTGATCGTCGTCGACCGAGTTCTATGTCCGTTGTTGATACATCCTTTCTTTATGAGTGAAGAATGACAAATGATATCTCGACATGATTATGAAAACAGCAGTATTTATGTGAAAACAATCTCTTCCTTTCAAATCCTGTATTATACTACCATTTATAGTGTCAGTGAACTGACGATCGGCGCATGCGCCCCTTCCATGCACCTAGCATACACCACACAGCGAACAGTCAGCCGACTTTAGACATCTCTGATCGTTCAGCAGAGCGAGAGCTTACCGACTCGACATCATCTCTTGAGAACTTCGGGTAGAGCGACAAAACGGATCGTTCTAATGCAGCCTACAGCAACCAAACCCAAAACTTTACCGAGAACACCTGAGTCACAGCTTCACTTAACCATGAAACGACGGCAGGAGGAGCCCGCTAAACCGCAAGTACAGACTGACCCCATCACAGAACAAGAACCATTGGATGGTGATGTACCGTCATTACGTGAGTCTGATAATGTCAAGTAAACGCATCTTAATTGTTAAATTGTCTCTTTGTTCAACAGAAGAAAAAATTACATCGAAAATAATAATTAAACAATTAATGCTCTTTTACCTTGCAATAAATATATCTTCATGTATTATAGTATTCTTTCTTCTAGCGCAGTGAAAATCAAATATTTAGATTTCAGAACATTTCCTTGCTCTTTTACCTTGCAATATATATATCTTCATGTATTATAGTATTCTTTCTTCTAGCGCAGTGAAAATCAAATATTTAGACTTCAGAACATTTCCTTGCTCTTTTACCTTGCAATATATATATCTTCATGTATTATAGTATTCTTTCTTCTAGCGCAGTGAAAATCAAATATTTAGATTTCAGAACATTTCCTTAAGACACGCCACCCCAATGCCGTAGTCTGCTGACACTAAGCTCTAGAAAAGTACGCCTTTTTAATGATTCAGTTTTAATGATACGAACTCGTTCGAGTAATATTATTATAAACCTGGTTTTAAAAATACTCTCAGTATTTAAAGCAAAAGTTTTGCTTTAAGTTTTTTGTTTTGAAAACTTGCACAAAGATTCACAAAGGCTATCTACACTGACCATCTCTAGCTAATAGACCAGAGAGGAGGCAGGAAGCTAGTCACAATCTGATCAATAAATGAGGTTTAACTGTTGCCCCAAAGCGCGGAGTACGTTTTTATAGCAACGAGACGCGAACCAGGAACTCTCACTTTTACAGTCCAGCACGTTAACCATTAAGACTCGTCAGCCCAAAATGTTAACTATCTTATATAAGTTCTGGAAGTGAATATTTTAACGCATCTTTTCAGAAACCTACTTTCCAAAGTGTAATTTATTTCTTGGGTAAAAAAAATAAAAGTGAAACACTATTTTCAGAAAGCAAGCTAGCAAGATAATTTTCCAGGTCACCAGGTGATATTGATTACGTTTCAGTTAAGTCCTCGGGATGCTACGGATCGTTGGAAAGTCATTTTTGAGGAAACATGGCGTGCTACACATGTTGAATTAAAAGTAATTAATGGACCGTAACTTAGAAAAAAACAGGTTTTAGGTGAATCAACCTAAACAATTTAGGTGTTAAGAATGTACTTGTGGGAAGCTTTGGAAAGTCTGACGACGTTGAGAAATTTGTCGTTAGTTATGCGAAGAATTTGGTTGAAATGCAAGGAGGGTTTAACTAGCAACATCACGAGAGAAAATAAAATACTTATACAAGTTGTCTGTGTAAGAAGAAAATAATATTTATTAATTATTACAGGTTCAAACAGCAGGTTAATCGCTCCATTAATTTCTAATCTGGTGCATGTCATTTTTTTCCAGACAGAGTTGTTATAGTTCACATTTTAGACTTAAAAATTTTTTTATGTTCTAGAGAGATACCTGTTAAGTTTGTTTATTTGTTTTTATTTGCTCTGCCCACCACGGGTATCGAAACCCGGTTTCTAGCGTTGTAAGTCCGCAGACATACCGCTGAGCCACTGGGGGGCATACCTGTTAAGATATGTTGTTCGTGTTCGGGAAGCATAAAAAATTGATGTTAAGATATCGTTCTTGTTCTGGAGTAAAAACAAATGCCTGTTAAAATATTGTTCTTGTTCTGGAGTTATAATAAATGCCTGTTAAAATATTGTTCGTGTTGTAGAGCCATAACAAATATAGCTGTTACGATATTGTTTATATTATGGAATCATAACAGATACCCATTAAAACATTGTTCGTGTTTTGAAGTCATAGAAGATACTTGTTAGGATATTGCTTTTGTTCTGGAGTCATAACAGATAGATGATATGATATATTCGTTACTGTCAAAACATTAACTGTCCGTGTTCCATAGGAACACATGTTTTAAAATGTTCTCCATATTCAATATACAAAAGTGTTGCCCCCAGTGGCACAGCGGTATGTTTTTGGACTTACAACGCTAGAAACCAGCTTTCGATAACCGTGGTGGGTAGAGCACAGATAGTCCATTGGGTAGCTTTGTGCTTAATTATAAACACAAACATACAAATGTTAAGACATTGCTTATATTTTAGCGACAAAGCTGTTAAAATATTGTGTGTGTCCTAAAATGTAGATATTAACATACTGTTTATGTCTTGGTGACATGGCAAATAAGCCGCTGTTTCCGACACAGAGCTATTACTACACCGGTTGTGTTCTAGGAAAGCTAGCCTATCCAGATTTGGGTATAATTCCTCAGGTAGTGCTCACGCTTTAAAAACAAACACATGGAAAATAATTTTTTTGTATACAACAGGGCTATAACTGTATAGAACTCCTTCCGTAATTTATTGACACTGCTGTTAGTATACTATGCATATTATATAGAAATAGCTGAGTTTGGCATGGCGTGGTTAGGGCGCTCGAATCTGTAGGTGGCGTGTTCGAATCCCCGTCACCAAATATTTTCACACTTTAGGGTTACTGTCAAGGCCTACCCAAGTGCAATAATTCTTGGCTAATACAAACACCAGAGCGGCCGACCCCAAACTAGGTGGGATTAAGGTCAAAAGAAGAATATTCTATAAAAATAGCTGTTAACTTTGTTTTAGAGTTCTTGGGACATAACTATTAACAAACGTCCCGTTTAGGGAGTTAATATCTAATGCACTAATTCTAGAGAAACCATTTTCGTGTTCTAAGAATGTAACAGTTAACACAGTTTCGTTGTTCTAGACGTATATAACTACCATATATAAATGCACTCTCCTTACTCTATCGCTTATAATTATTTTTATGTTCTAAGGATAAAGGTTTTAGGAATGAAGTTGTAGTTTTAAAGTGAAAGTTCAACGTAAGTCAACATTTTCAAATTATCTGCTCTCTTTTGTTGTTCACCATATTTTGCCATTTTCTTACATTTGCCGTATTTCGCCATTTCCAAAATTTATTTGCTGTATTCTGCCTTATTTAAATATTTATTTGCCATTTTCTAACATTTGCCGTATTTAACAATTTTCAAACATTTATTTGCCGTATTTTGCCATTTTCTAGCATTTGCCCTATTTCGCCATTTCCAAAATTTATTTGCTGCATTCTGCCCGTTTTAAACATTTATTTGCCAGGAAAGCTTATATTAATAACTAAACAGATAGAAGAATCAAACATACATTCTACTTGACAGAGGCCCCAAATCCCTAGTTGGTGTTTAAAAAAATCAGAATGGAAAACTATAATCGAAAATTCCCGCGCCTATGGGTCCGAGCCCCGAATCTTTTAAGCACCTAGCGCCGCCTCTGATCTACAACTCCCACCTACTGAATCAGCCCCCCAGTGGCACAACGATATGTCTGCGGACTTACAACGCTAGAAATCGGGTTTCGATACCCGTGGTGGGCAGAGCACAGATAGCCCATCGCGTAGCTTCAAACAAACCTACTGAATCAACGATTATAAATCCATCAATATTTAATTGATGTAAAGAACAATTATTTAACTCTCCTGGATTTGTACACCCTAGGAACTAGCTGAAATCGCTGGATGGCAATTCACTAGAACAGCAAAAACAACTACAACAAAACATAAGTAAAGTTTAGTAATACAACCAGAACAGTTCACCACACGGTAGTCGAAAAGTAAATCTTTTAAGGCTATCCTCACGAGCAGGACAAGGGAGGAAATGCACTTAAAGATGTTATATGCTCTTCACTCTAAAATAGGTTTTAAAGTAGCTTAGTTTGGCTAATCGCTTTCTCCTGGAATTGTTTGTCTCGTGCATTTCCCTGTAACATACAGTCTTGACAAACTTTCAGTTGCGTCAGTGAAAATTCGGATTTTATTCTAAGTTTTCAATTGGATCACCACCGAAAATTAAGATTTATTGGATTATAATATTTCAAAGACTAACTTTTTGCCTTCAGATAGGATGAAGCATTTTCTGGAAACACCAAATAGATTTTTTACTTGTGCTGTACCATTCTTATTTTCGTTTTTTGTTGTTATTGTTTTTTCTGTAAACGCAAGAAATCCCAATTGAAAATACTATGTTATTCAATTTATTGTTTAAAAAGTTGCCATGCCAATCAAATCTACAATGGCTAAATAATATTATAATTACATGATAATTCCCTTCCTAACAGTTAAACTATCTTCTAGGTGTCACCACTGTAATCATATATTCAGCGATACAGTTGGTAGTTGAAGTTTCGTTTTTTACGAGTCTTTAGCAAACTGATATTAGTTAATATCGCAAGCCTGATGTGGCAAGAGTGGTTGCTTGTAATATCGTTTTGTTCCTTGTCTCGTTTGGTAACTTCAATATTTTCTTTTGTCTGATAAACTAATTATCTTTGATGCTCTTCTGATATATTAGGTTATCTAACATTTTGAAATCCTTTTATTTGTACTTAATTAGTAACTCCCCTTTTATATCTTATTTAACATATGTATCGATACAATACAGAAAAGCAAACAGTTCATTGTGCTAGTTAACAGATACAAGAGTAATTCAAGGCTTTTCTACGACAATGACGTCTAGTAACAATATTTAGGAATTAATTAAAAACATCGATTTTGTTATCTCTGTTTATTTACACGTAATGTTTGCAAATTTTCCATAGGGCAATGTTTACTCCATCTTATTATACGGAACATCTCCACCGGGTATATCAATGTGCATAAAACCAAATGGGTTTGCACCGGGTATATCAATGTGCATAAAACCAAATGGGTTTGCAGAATTAGTCAAAGACTTAAGCAACATATGACCTCACAAATAATTTGTACCTTTCACATTTTTATCCACTACTAATTATCTTATTATATCAAAAATTAAAGCGTAAATTCACCTTGAAGCCACAAGATTAAATACTTGCCTTTATGTTTCTGTTTTTGTTTTGAACTAAGCGGAGAGACAGTTTTCATTAGGTTTATGTTTTTCTTATAGAAGTTAGAAAAATAGGAGGAAAAAATCATATATTAATCCTATAAATAACGACATGACCACTTTCTGGAGAATTTGTTATTGAAGA